TTCAACACGGTGACCGCCCGGCAGCGCTGCCCCCCCTAACCTGCCCCCCCATTATTCAGCCCCCGTCCCCCGGAGCAGCACGGCGCCCCTGGTGGAGAAAATCTGCTCCGATTTTGGCAGCATCTTCCCCAAGAACCCGCCCCCCCGCCCCCCCGAGCAACTCGGGGCGGGGGAGGTTAAAGGTGAAGGGTCATCACTCTGATGCGGAGACCCCCCAGGGACTCCCTCGCTCCTCTGCTCTCTACCCTCCCTGCAGTCCCATCTGTCCAGAGCATGGTTCCTTTCAGGGGGCAGGGGCTGTGCCATGGGGCTGGTGCATATGGGGGGGATATTGACTGGGGAGAACTACACAAGGTAGGAACCATAGGAGGCTCTTAGTGGGTTCAGGAGTTGGGGGGATTGGATTTGGGGTGACACCAAGAGAAAATTGACCAGGGGGCCCATATAGAAGGATACTGACTGAGACTAAACAGTGTGTGTGTGGAGGGAAAGCTCTGTGGGGCAGACACCATGCACCATCGGGACCCCCCCCCCCAACAGCCCACTCCCAGCAGGCCAAAGAGGGGGCGAGGTGGGTACCATGAGATCAGGGCTCTATTGAGGTGACACCAGGAGACAGCCAGCCCCTATATAAGGGGTATATTGACCGGGGGAACCTATATAGCGTAGGACCCAGGGGTGGTGTCGTGCTGGGATGAGGGTGGCGGGGGGGGGGGGGGGACATGTATTGAAGTGACACCCCAGGGCGATAGTCACCAGGAGGCTGATAGAGGTGGCTAGTGACTGGAGGGGAATCATGGGAGGAGTCATAGACTCAGAGGGGACAGGGACTTAGGGGGACCCATTTTGAGGAGACACCAACTCCCCCCACCCACCCAACAGTAGTTGATGAGGGGGCCGATATGGGGGATATGGACCAGGAACCGCCCCTCCCCCATACACTCTCCTTCCCCCTAAGGCCAAGCGAGCAGAGATTTGGGAGCTCCTGGCCGTGTGCACAACGGCCCCGCGGCGTCATCCGTGTGCTGGCGGCCGGGTTCCCTCATCCGTGTCGCCCCTGGGCGTCGGCTCACACGCGTGTCACAGCCGTGCTCAGTCACGTGGCTGCCGGCTCATCCGGCAGGGCTCCGGTTGTCTGGGCAGCCCCCACGCCCCGGCCTGTCGGAAACATGGGGCAGGTCTGAGCCCCCCAGCAGGTCTGAGCCCCCCAGCTGACACAAACCCGCTCTGGTCCATACAGCGGCTTTACCAGGCTCCCGTGGGAGATCGGAGGGAGATGCTCCCTGCTCCCCCCCTGCCCAGCTGCCCCCCCATACTGCCTCCCCCCCCCCCCAGTTTCCCACCCTAAGTCCTGTTTACTCAACGCTCCAACTTGGAATAAAAGAGAACAGCAAAAGAGACAAAGGCGTCTGCGAGTCCAGGATATGGGGCCTGGCCCTTCTAGGGGGCACTGGCTCTGATCGGGGGGGCAGGCTGCATAGGGGGGGACTGTGACGGGGATGGGGTGCTGTCCCTGCTCTGGGGGGACACAGCCATGGGGCTGCCAGTGGACTGTGGTCCCATCTCCTGGGCTGCAGGATAAAGGACCGGGCCATGGGGTTGCTGGAGATGCGCAGCCTACGCCCCATAACCCTCCACCCCCCCTTGGCTGGTCATGTGATCCTGAGATTTGGGGAACCCCCCCCATCCTTCAACAGAGGCCCCCACAACCACCAAAGTCTCTTCAGCATCCCATCTATCAACTTCCCCCCAGAATATCCACCACCCTGAATCCCAGCAGGGCTCCCTTGCTAGACAGGACCCCCCGAGACTCACCAGCCCCCCTCAATCCAACTGGGCCCCCAGACGCTTCAGTGAACCCTTCCCCCGACCCAGTGCCCCCGAAGAATCACCCCCAAATATCAAGCACTTGCTCCCCAAATTCTCTTTGAATGCTGTAAATACCCCCCAGCTAGACCTGCCCCCCGAGACACGGGACCCCAAATTCCCCCTGAATCCCTGAGCGTTCACCCTCAATTCTCTACCTGATCCCACTAACCTTCCAGTGCCCCTCATGCCCGACCCGCAGCCCCCTGCCAGCCCAGCCCTGGCCCCCCTGCTCCGCCGGTGCCTCTCACTCCCGACCCACAGCCCCTGCCAGCCCAGCCCTGGCCCCCCTGCTCTGCCGGAGCCCCTCACTCCCGACCCGCAGCCCCCTGCTCCGCCGGTGCCCCTCACTCCCGACCCACAGCCCCTGCCAGCCCAGCCCTGGCCCCCCTGCTCTGCCGGAGCCCCTCCCTCCCGACCCACAGCCCCTGCCAGCCCAGCCCTGGCCCCCCTGCTCTGCCGGAGCCCCTCCCT